ATCACTGTCTGTAACATAACAAATACGACTGTAGGTATGTAACACCGTGTTTGGAATCTCCTTACCCTGCTAACATCACTGTCTGTAACATGACAAATACCACTGTAGGTATGTAACGCCGTGTTTGGAATCTCCTTACCCAGCTAACATCAATGTTTGTAACATGACAAATACCACTGTAGGTATGTAACACCGTGTTTGGAATCTCCTTACCCAGCTAACATCACTGTCTGTAACATGACAAATACCACTGTAGGTATGTAACACCGTGTTTGGAATCTCCTTACCCTGCTAACATCACTGTCTGTAACATGACAAATACCACTGTAGGTATGTAACACCGTGTTTGGAATCTCCTTACCCACCCAGCTAACATCAATGTTTGTCACATGACACATACCACTGTAGGTATGTAACACCGTGTTTGGAATCTCCTTACCCTGCTAACATCACTGTCTGTAACATGACAAATACCACTGTAGGTATCTAACACCGTGTTTGGAATCTCCTTACCCTGCTAACATCAATGTTTGTAACATGACAAATACCACTGTAGGTATGTAACACCGTGTTTGGAATCTCCTTACCCAGATAACATCAATGTTTGTAACATGACAAATACCACTGTAGGTATGTAACACCGTGTTTGGAATCTCCTTACCCTGCTAACATCGCTGTCTGTAACATGACAAATACCACTGTAGGTATGTAACACCGTGTTTGGAATCTCCTTACCCTGCTAACATCACTGTCTGTAACATGACAAATACCACTGTAGGTATGTAACACCGTGTTTGGAATCTCCTTACCCTGCTAACATCACTGTCTGTAACATGACAAATACCACTGTAGGTATGTAACACCGTGTTTGGAATCTCCTTACCCTGCTAACATCACTGTCTGTAACATGACAAATACCACTGTAGGTATGTAACACCGTGTTTGGAATCTCCTTACCCTGCTAACATCACTGTCTGTAACATGACAAATACCACTGTAGGTATGTAACACCGTGTTTGGAATCTCCTTACCCTGCTAACATCACTGTCTGTAACATGACAAATACCACTGTAGGTATGTAACACCGTGTTTGGAATCTCCTTACCCTGCTAACATCACTGTCTGTAACATGACAAATACCACTGTAGGTATGTAACACCGTGTTTGGAATCTCCTTACCCAGCTAACATCACTGTCTGTAACATGACAAATACCACTGTAGGTATGTAACACCGTGTTTGGAATCTCCTTACCCTGCTAACATCACTGTCTGTAACATGACAAATACCACTGTAGGTATGTAACACCGTGTTTGGAATCTCCTTACCCTGCTAACATCACTGTCTGTAACATAACAAATACGACTGTAGGTATGTAACACCGTGTTTGGAATCTCCTTACCCTGCTAACATCACTGTCTGTAACATGACAAATACCACTGTAGGTATGTAACACCGTGTTTGGAATCTCCTTACCCTGCTAACATCACTGTCTGTAACATGACAAATACCACTGTAGGTATGTAACACCGTGTTTGGAATCTCCTTACCCTGCTAACATCACTGTCTGTAACATGACAAATACCACTGTAGGTATGTAACACCGTGTTTGGAATCTCCTTACCCTGCTAACATCACTGTCTGTAACATGACAAATACCACTGTAGGTATGTAACACCGTGTTTGGAATCTCCTTACCCAGCTAACATCACTGTCTGTAACATGACAAATACCACTGTAGGTATGTAACACCGTGTTTGGAATCTCCTTACCCAGCTAACATCACTGTCTGTAACATGACAAATACCACTGTAGGTATGTAACACCGTGTTTGGAATCTCCTTACCCTGCTAACATCACTGTCTGTAACATGACAAATACCACTGTAGGTATGTAACACCGTGTTTGGAATCTCCTTACCCAGCTAACATCACTGTCTGTAACATGACAAATACCACTGTAGGTATGTAACACCGTGTTTGGAATCTCCTTACCCTGCTAACATCACTGTCTGTAACATGACAAATACCACTGTAGGTATGTAACACCGTGTTTGGAATCTCCTTACCCTGCTAACATCACTGTCTGTAACATGACAAATACCACTGTAGGTATGTAACACCGTGTTTGGAATCTCCTTACCCTGCTAACATCACTGTCTGTAACATGACAAATACCACTGTAGGTATGTAACACCGTGTTTGGAATCTCCTTACCCTGCTAACATCACTGTCTGTAACATGACAAATACCACTGTAGGTATGTAACACCGTGTTTGGAATCTCCTTACCCTGCTAACATCACTGTCTGTAACATGACAAATACCACTGTAGGTATGTAACACCGTGTTTGGAATCTCCTTACCCTGCTAACATCACTGTCTGTAACATGACAAATACCACTGTAGGTATGTAACACCGTGTTTGGAATCTCCTTACCCTGCTAACATCACTGTCTGTAACATGACAAATACCACTGTAGGTATGTAACACCGTGTTTGGAATCTCCTTACCCTGCTAACATCACTGTCTGTAACATGACAAATACCGACTGTAGGTATGTAACACCGTGTTTGGAATCTCCTTACCCTGCTAACATCACTGTCTGTAACATGACAAATACCACTGTAGGTATGTAACACCGTGTTTGGAATCTCCTTACCCTGCTAACATCACTGTCTGTAACATGACAAATACCACTGTAGGTATGTAACACCGTGTTTGGAATCTCCTTACCCAGCTAACATCACTGTCTGTAACATGACAAATACCACTGTAGGTATGTAACACCGTGTTTGGAATCTCCTTACCCTGCTAACATCACTGTCTGTAACATGACAAATACCACTGTAGGTATGTAACACCGTGTTTGGAATCTCCTTACCCACCCAGCTAACATCAATGTTTGTCACATGACAAATACCACTGTAGGTATGTAACACCGTGTTTGGAATCTCCTTACCCTGCTAACATCACTGTCTGTAACATGACAAATACCACTGTAGGTATGTAACACCGTGTTTGGAATCTCCTTACCCAGCTAACATCAATGTTTGTAACATGACAAATACCACTGTAGGTATGTAACACCGTGTTTGGAATCTCCTTACCCAGCTAACATCAATGTTTGTAACATGACAAATACCACTGTAGGTATGTAACACCGTGTTTGGAATCTCCTTACCCTGCTAACATCACTGTCTGTAACATGACAAATACCACTGTAGGTATGTAACACCGTGTTTGGAATCTCCTTACCCTGCTAACATCACTGTCTGTAACATGACAAATACCACTGTAGGTATGTAACACCGTGTTTGGAATCTCCTTACCCTGCTAACATCACTGTCTGTAACATGACAAATACCACTGTAGGTATGTAACACCGTGTTTGGAATCTCCTTACCCTGCTAACATCACTGTCTGTAACATGACAAATACCACTGTAGGTATGTAACACCGTGTTTGGAATCTCCTTACCCTGCTAACATCACTGTCTGTAACATGACAAATACCACTGTAGGTATGTAACACCGTGTTTGGAATCTCCTTACCCTGCTAACATCGCTGTCTGTAACATGACAAATACCACTGTAGGTATGTAACACCGTGTTTGGAATCTCCTTACCCTGCTAACATCACTGTCTGTAACATGACAAATACCACTGTAAGTATGTAACACCGTGTTTGGAATCTCCTTACCCTGCTAACATCACTGTCTGTAACGTGTCAGTACAGCTGTATGTGAGGAGTACAATATCCCCCACCACCTTACCCAGCAACACCACTCTCTGTTACATATAAATACAAATGTATATCACACAATGCAAGACAATATCAATGCGAGATGTCAATACCACTGTTAGTATATAACACAATGTTTCCAGTCACCTTACCTATCGACACAAATATCAATGCAAGATGTCAATACCACTGTAAGTGTGTAACACAATGTTTCCAGTCACCTTACCAATCGACACAAATATCAATGCGAGATGTCAATACCACGGTATGTATGTAACACAATGTTTCCAGTCACCCTACCAATCGACACAAATATCAATGCGAGATGTCAATACCACGGTATGTATGTAAGACAATGTTTCCAGTCACCTTACCTATCGACACAAATATCAATGCGAGATGTCAATACCACTGTAAGTGTGTAACACAATGTTTCCAGTCACCTTACCAATCGACACAATTATCAATGCGAGATGTCAATACCACTGTAAGTGTGTAACACAATGTTTCCAGTGACCTTACCAAGCGACACAAATATCAATGTGAGATGTCAATACCACTGTAAGTATATAACACAATGTTTCTAGTCACCTTACCAATCGACACAAATATCAATGCGAGATGTCAATACCACTGTAAGTGTGTAACACAATGTTTCCAGTCACTTAACGCGTGAGCCAGGCAAGGTTTTATGGACAAGAAAAGTGAGGAACGTTGCTGTTTAGGGGAGGCTATAAAGTCACATGTCACAACAGAACGTGCTATCCTCCGTCACGACTATCCTCGAGGGCACATCAAACACGTTGCAATGGTTGTTGCCCGGAATTTGGTCACGAGATTCCGCCCTGCTCACGTTATTCCCAGATATTTATATTACTAAGGATGAAGAATTGATTCCTGCTGTAAAGGAATGGTTAATAGGACCAACAGTTATAGGTCATAGATCAACAAGATACAGAACTAGTGTTTTCAACAGCAATGTTAAACAATAATTAAATCTCACTTCAGTACTTATGATATATGTATTCTAGGCTAAACACGTTTTGCTTCCCCTTCATCGCTTTCAAGCTATTTAACAGAATCATAGTTAAATGACAGTTAAATGTTGAAAACAGTCACTGGTATATGAGCGCTACTGTGAGCATATTGGCATATCCACAATCATTAACCCATAAATGACATGACAGCTGAGCCGGAAATGTATTGAGGGGCACTTTTAGACAAATCTCTCCCATGACCTTCTCTGTGGCATTTTCAGAAACCTGCAGCACTGAATTACCGGACACGCAAAAAGCCGAGTTCCAACAGTGTGACAAGAGCTGTCCTCAGCCATGCAGGTGCGTGTTATAGGATGGGACGGTTTCCGTGTTAGAGGATGGAACTATTTTCTTTGTCTAGACTTGTGTTTGAATACTTCAAATGTAGTGTAGTATTGAGTTCCAACAGTGTGACAAGAGCTGTCCTCAGCCATGCAGGTGCGTGTTATAGGATTGGACAGTTTCCGTGTTAGAGAACGGAACTATTTTCTTTGTCTAGACTTGTGTTTGAATACTTCAAATGTAGTGTAGTATTGAGTTCCAACAGTGTGACAAGAGCTGTCCTCAGCCATGCAGGTGCGTGTTATAGGATGGGACGGTTTCCGTGTTAGAGGATGGAACTATTTTCTTTGTTTAGACATGTGTTTGAATACTTCAAATGTAGTATGTTGTAGTGCATGTATGATTTGATTTTCAAGCATAAGCTATTGATAAATGTTCTCATGCTTCCTTTGGTTGTTGGGTACACACTTCAATAATCGTTTTCGTGCACAAACATAAGTATTTTGCTATTATTGAAATATGTTTGAGCATTTTCATAGAAACGTGATATGAAAAATTGATAATGATCATTTCTCGGTCAATATCATTGTTGCATCACCCACATTGTGAATTATATGTGTATATATCGAGCTAACAATAAACAAATCATGACAGAAACAGATAACGTATATATATACAAAATATGATATTTGTTTCGAAATACTGTAGAATATAGACCAGGAAGCTCTTTGTTTTCAACATTCAACAAACGAGCGAGTTTTGTCGAGCATAATACATGAGTAATTATATAACTTAACATTATTTCTGACACCATATATTTTCACAAAACTAAATTTAATCCTAAAGAAGCATCACCCAGACATTTGTTAAATGCTCCGTTCGATGACTTGTGATGAAGTAAATGAGCATGAAATTCCTGTAGTGTTTAGAACTTTTAGACGGCATCTGCCAAATATCCCATGTATACTTACAGAGAGGTTCGTTTCGAGAAGACGCTGTCTGCTGCACAATGGCCTTCTAAGCAATATAAGGTCAGTATGTTTTACATTTCATGTAACAAATTACAAGAAAATTTACTGAAGAAGAGTGACCCTTTTGGTGAATTTGGCAATGTTCAGAAAAAGATACAGACTGGCATAAATCACAGTAAAGAGTGTGTCAGTATCACACGTTAGTAAACTGGGAACGATGGCGCGTCAAGAGTCAGATGCTTACTTTAATAAACTGAGATATATCTTACGACTGTGAATGAGTCAACGCGTTGGCTCATCACGCCGAAGACCCGGGTTCAATTCCCCACATGAGCTCTATGTGTGAAGCCCATTCCTGGTGTCCCCCGCCGTGATATTGCTGGAATATTGCTAAAAGCGACGTAAATCTATACTCACTCACTCACTCACTCACTGTGAATGAGTCAGTGGCACCCCTTGGAAATTGCGAACGATCTGACTGTTATGACTTGGCGGCTCTCCACCATAACGGAGAACGATCTTTAGGTATCTTTAGTCAGTTGCATACTTTAGTAAGTGCGTCGGTTGAACATTTTTGTAAACTGGGAAGAATGCCTGTTTACGAGTACTCCTTCAAATGGATACAATCTTTAGACCAAAATAGAAACATTCAAAAAGTAAACTACCCATGAAGATCCGGGAAGGAATTGGTCTTCAGCAACCCATGCTTGTCGGCGACTAACGGGATCGGGTGGTCAGGCTTGCTGAGTTGGTTGACACATGTCATGGTACCAATTGCGTATATCGATGCTTATGCTGTTGGTCACTGGATTGTCTGTTCCAGATTCGATTATTTACAGACTGCCGCTATATAGGTGGAATATTGCTGAGTGCGGCGTTAAACAACAAATACACCAAACAAAGCTCATTAAGCGCTTTGAGCATATCCCTGTGACGTGGAAAGGCGCTATATAAATGGGCTATTATTATTTATTATTATTACAAATCCAAAGTAAACTGGGTAGGCTATTTAATCCTCGGAACACATTGGTAGATTGGATACCTGTTGTTATTATGGGTTTTTTAATTATGTTTTTAGCATCATCTTCAGAGTAAAGTCCAGCAGAGTAACTACAAATTCTACGGATCGCAGGTCGAGTAAGTCAACCTTTCATATGTCACATTACAGCATGCGTGTCTTACAAATTAAGGAACTTACCATATTCTTAGAGGGATCTGGGACTTTTGTTTGAAAGACAACAAGGTCATCGTTCTAACACATTTAGGGGCAACAATTTTGCAGAGCATCGAATTATTATGCCAAATTCGGGGGTAGACCCTGATGATTCTCTTACAACAAAATTCAGAAAGAAATCTTTTTCAAAATAAGACATCTAGATCCAGCAATGCTTACAATGTACGAGCTGTTTGATAGACAATCAGATCATAGTCGAACAAATGTATGGGCCCCACAACAATTTTGCAGAGCATAAAACTATTTAGCACAAATTCGGTGGTAAATCCTGATGATTGTTTTACAACAAAATTCAGGAAGAAATATTTTTTCTAAATCCAGCAATGCTTGCAATGTACAAGGAGCTAGTCATGAAAACTTGGTAATAGTAATGAAGAATTCATCCACATTACATTTCCTTTCAGGGAGGAAGATTTTGCAAGGGTAGAAGTCTATTTTGAGGACCTTTTGTTCAAAGAAATTGAACAACAGAAAGCATACGAGGTAAAAACATATATGCATATCAACAGACAGTTTTTCTTTTCTTGTAATCAAATTTAATTGTATTGTGGCCTATTGTGACACGAAATATGTAAGATGTTTGGAAATATCGGTAAATGCCCCCGAAAACTGAACGTGGCTTATTTTGACGCAAGATGTGAATAATAGTTCTAGCTTTAAGCCCCAGAGCTTAATTAATATATTTTTGTGGAAACATAAACACTGTAATATGTTATACATCTCTCTTGTACTCGGCGGTGGGGTTGCCTAGTGGTTAAAGCGTTCGCTCGTCACGCCAAAGGCCCGGGTTCGATTCCAGACATGGGCACAATGTGTGAAGCCCATTTCTGGTGTCCCCCGTGATATTGCTGGAATATTGCTAAAAGCGGCGTAAAATGAATCTCACTCACTCACTTATTCTCCCTCTTGTACTCAGTCTCAGAACCTGATCAGTGATATCGGCGGTCAACTCGGACTATGGCTTGGCCTTTCTGCCATCACTCTCGGAGAGCTGTTCAGTTTCCTCTTCTCCATCGGTCAGGCTGCGACTCGGAGAGTCGTCGGAAACAGCAAGAAGGGCAGCAAAACCCCCATTGAACCTGTCAGTTACATGTAGTGATGGAAAACACCGGAACAGACCGAGTAGTTCCGAAATGAAACGAAAGTTACCGAATTCGTCTCCAAAGCCTGTGAACATTCAATTGAACTTCTTTTATTAACATCAGGACTTTCATCTTTCATTAGTTAATGTTGTAAAGGGTGATAGGTAATTGTGTAGATATAGACATGTTGAAAGTTATAAAGGTGTCATTTTAATCTCTTCTAGTTAACCTTCCGCGGGAACAAATTCATTGTGTTCAAGATTAAAACACACACTTGTCACCGCAAAACCGACATTGATATTGGTAATACCTTTCGTTTCATCTCACATTGGTGTTGCTTAGCAACTCATTAAACAGAATGTACATATTTAAAGAAGAAGTTAATGTTAAGTGTTTTCAAATTTATTGATAGTGTGAGTGTTTGAAATTATATCTTGAACTGATAGCCTAACAGTTGCCTTAATTCTTTTCAACGCGCACTTAAACTGCTGACATACATGACGTCATCGTTGATGACGACATCAAACTTCCACGACAGCTGTGAAATTTTTATCAAGCGCCATAATTAATGGTATTCTTTTCATCCTGCTGATTACCTTGTTTTGTCACATTTGGGACATTAATATGTTTATCAAAAATAAATATAGCATTCTTCCCCTGATATAAAAAACAAGATTTCCATACTTCGAATTCCATTGCAATAAGCTGACAGTATATCAACCAATATGATCGCACATTTGTTTTCCTACAGGGTGTTATTTTTTGTGTTATCGTCATTAGATATGCCGTGTACAAAAGAAACAATCCTCTTCGTTAACATATGTGTGTATTAAGAGGAGCGTAGCCTGTGATACCACTGTACATATATAGAGCTCCAAATAAGCCTTTAAATCAGGAGTATTTACAAAGAAAGTTTACGTCAAGTTAATTTCTCGTTTTACCTTATTCAAATTATCCAGCTAAAAGTTATTTTTCATAATTCTTTAAAAAGTGCCAAATGTATATTTAATATGAGAAAACAGCTTAGTCTTTGAAAAGTGACAATCATTGGCTTAAATGAACTAAACAGCATCACCAAACTGTTCATCATCTACTTTCATCATTGCTGATTCACAACCATGTAAACAACCACGATATTTCATTAATCAACGACCGAAGCTATTTATCATATTTGAGAACGAATGCACTTTTGTCTTCTGGCTTATCTGGAGCAGAGGAAACATGTGTTTCAATTTATACTCTTGTGACTTATATATATTTAATCTTTTCTCCTTTTTCAGTATGTGAGACAACTATTTTCGCGTATGATGACGGAGTGGATAAGTCCTCATGTTATTACCCTCGTACCTCTCAAATCATGGCAAACAATAAAGCATCCTTCCTTATTTGATCAGTATATGTTGGTTTAGACTGAGGAGCAAAGGAAAATACGCCGTATGTTTCTGCATCAGTGAAAATTGAAAGAGCTGTTGTTAAATACGATAATGTGCATCTAACGATCACTAAAGTTACGAAAGATTGTAAAAAGTAACTGTGGATGGGTACTGTTGTGTAAAAACTACATCGGTTCAGGAAAGACCGGTGTAAGAAATGAGTTTGCAATCAGATGACCCCTGCTATATTTGAACTGTAATCTTTTGCCGAAGAATGCAAATGTTTTATTTTCAAAGAAATGTCTGATGTACCCATCAACAGTTGTTCATTACGTTATACCATTTATTTTTAGGTTTTAAATGAAAAGGTATTACAAAGGGCAATTACGACTCATGTTTAGATATACTACGATAACTTTGTAACTGACAATTTTTCGATAATGATAAAGTGAACGAGAGGTTCAGTTTCAATTGCTCCTCAGTGTATGATTGATTATATTTCCTGCTGCCGACTCGACAGCCTCTAGAGCTTGCGACAGGCTGTAAGGTAGCCATATGTTAACGTGTTCGTCCACGAGCCGAATACCACGTTTCAATTCCAGTCATGGATATGTTGGAACCTATTCCTGGAATCCATCGGCGTGACAAACTGAGAGGTGCCAAAAGCGGCCTAAAACCATTCTCACTCACTAAAGCAGTTTAGGAGGGACATATGTATTTAGCAGGTAGTGTATTAGTCGGGTTGGATAAATAAAAACTTCATTTCGTCACAATAGTTTATGTAATAATTCTTCCCATCGACGATATTTCCGATTATTGATCTTTTTAGCCAGTCCTACAGATTACTTAGTTCCGGAATCCGTTCATGGCATGAACATGTACGTCAATAACCTGTGAGTGAGTGAATGTATGAATGTGTGATAATTACTTAAAGCCGTATCATCTGTTCATAACGGGGTCATTGTATATGCTTTCCGCTGGCTAAATTCCCAGTTAATTGAGTGTCCACCTACTGTGCACCATAGTGTAGTTTCACAATGTTTAGTTAGTGTTTAAATCTGTTAACCATTCAGTTTTATGCATTTTAGGATAACCTCAATATTTAATATTTATTCATCTGAAATGCACCTAGTTTATTGTTTGACAGATGAATGTATTAGCTGTTGGAGGCAAAATCAATTATTTACTTGTCCTGAATTGTCTCCCTTTTGAAAACATAAAATCGTTTCAGTATTGTATTAGGACCAGGGACATTACGTTACAGAGGAACGACTCTGTGGGTGGGTAGGCCAAGATGGAGTGGGCAGGCCATCACGAACAAGTCATTGTAATTGGCCTGATATTCGATCTACATAAACAAACGTTGTAAATGGCAGAGCGGAGTTCTGCAAACGTATATACAATGAAACTAGAAAAGGCTAGGATCGATCATTTCCGTATTAATGGAAGTCATCAAGCGATAATAATAGGCTGGAGGACCGAAATACGTGACCTGAATAGCTCACAGTCAATTCCATTCCTATTAACCAGTTTTACCACTACCAGGTATTTCATATTTGTTTAGAAAACAAAGTTTGACGATCATAGAAACAAAGAAAATCGATGCCTCCTTATGTCATTTCATTGATTGACTTTAACGAATAGTCAACACAAGTTTCATTATGTGTATGTGTGTACATAATGACAAATTGCACAAATATTCAAATGAAAGTTCAAATGGCATGCATGTATGAAGTCTGAAAACGTTTTACTGTAATTGTTATAAAATCAGTTTGATATCCAGTTTGAATAAATTCTGGTTACATCATTTAGTAGTAAACTGAGATTTAAAAACAGGATAACCGCACTGTTAAAGTATTCCCAGCTAACAATTTCACGTTGTCACAACGTTGTCACAGCGTTATGCCTTCGTTGTAACAACGCTATTCTGTGGACTCCATTTTCGTTGTCACAACGTTGTGGCCTGACGTTGTGATACGTCATTTTTACGTCGCCACAAGGTTAAGTTATTTGATGCTAACGTATTTTACGTTGTCGTAACGTTCTATTTAACGTTAATAGTTGAATAGTTTTCCCAGTAGTGAAAAGTACATCTGAAACAAAGCAGAAATTCACTTCAATGTTTATTCGTCAATTTCCATGTTGTTTTGGTCGTGTTTCCTGAAGCTGTAGCTGAATTGTGAAAAAAAGAATCTGAAAATGAAAAGTTTTACAGAAAACTATCGTGGCACCAAGTCATAAGAAACGTTGTTATAACGTTGTGAGGAGCCCAAAGCATAACGTTTCCTCAACGTAACTTTGCAACCTTGTTATTACGTTGTGACATAACGTTATAAAATGACGTAATACTAACGTTGTGGCATGGCGTTACCAGTCTACAACCTTCCCACAACGTTGCGACAACGTTGGTGTGTTAGCTGGGTTATTAGTACAGGCTGACAAGCGGCCCAATGCATCGCAAATCAAGGTGGGCAGTTCCGTCCCTTGGTCAAGCCAAGATTGTTTGATCTTGGGTTAAAAACAATGTCCACCCAGATTATGAACAATAACCTGCCACCATGCATGGGTTAAACGTCAACAGCCACACCTACAGCACATGAAGCCTTCACGCCATGACATAACTGAAACAATGTTCAAATGGCGTTATAGCCAACTGACTAACTCGGAGTACGTAATACATCACGTATGTGTTCCCTGAGAGGTTCATGTCCTCTTGAATCCGCCAATATCTCTGTTCAAACGTTTTTGGAATTCGTCTTTGGATCTCGATCATAGTTTTGTGTAACAACATGAAATGTTTGAATAAACTAATTGTCTAAAACTTCGGCATGTATTGTCTTTATCAAAACTTCTAAAAGAAACGATGTTGGCCAGCTTTGTCCGACAAAGTTCCAATGTCTCCGTGACAAAAGTGTTCGAATTAGTCTACAGCAAACAATACTTGGTCCAGGGTCGCCGACTGAGCCATGTCATCGTACCCCATATTGTTTACATCGAAGTTCATGATGTCAATCACCAGATTGTCTGGTTCAGACTTGATTATTTACAAACAACCGTCAGACAGTTGGAAGATTGTTCAGAGCTGTATTAAACAACAAACAATCAGCAGAAGGCTTGCGTGCCAGAAACAAATACGTTTCAGTGAATCGGAGTCTGATTTTGCAAACACTTACGGAGATGTTTTTGTCCCACAATTACGTTTTTCACGTTTTGAAAAATGCATGATACGTAGGGAGTTTTCGGACAGCTGCTTTGTTATCTTGACCATGCTACATTTTGATGAATGTTTACTGCGCGGGTTCAAACCTGTACCAGCGTTTTTGGTATTTCTATACAATTACTTTTAAAACATTCTTTTGCCCGTGATTTTATTATCCTGGAATATATGTTCAACATTTGTAACAGTACTAAACGACACTATAACGTCTATATCTGCTGCTGCAACAAGTCCCAAATCATGCGTTCTCGAGAAAACACTCTCGATTTCAAAGATTTCAACGGGTTGTAACATTCAGCAGTTTCAGTGACCCCTTCTAAAGTTCTTCCTCGTTAGGACTATAACGGACTATTTCAGTGACCCAATGGAAATTGAACACTCCATTTTACACAGAAAAATACCATTTGTTTTATTTCAGAAAGTAGACTTTTGAGCATATATTAGCACATTCAGCAATGAGACGGGTCTTCTCTTCAACGTAACTGATGGATCAGGTCTGTCTTCTGAGGCTGTTCTAGTCACGCCGTGGTGAGACGTCATATTATGTGGGACCATCCATCGGTGGTATCTAGTATCTTTAACAGAAATAACAGAACAATTTAACAAACAATGTTTGTGCCTGAGGATTTGTCAGACGGATGATATAACGACGGAAAGAGTAACAACAGACGACCACAGACACTAACAGACGTCACGCCACAGACACTAACGCCACAACGCACTAACAGACGCCACAGACACTAACAGACGCCACAGACACTAACAGACGCTAACAGTGCTAACAACGCACAGACACAACAGACGCCACAGTGCTCAGCGCTCAAAACCAATGTAGCTTTCAAAACCTGGTTACAATTGGTCTTCAAAAACCCAAGCTTGTCGTAACAGGATCGGGGGGTCAATCGCTGACTTTGTTAACACATGTCATCGTTTCACATTTGCGCAGATCGATGCTCATGCTGTTGGATTCTCAGGTCCAGACTCGATTATTTACAGACCGCCGCCATATAGCTGGAATATTGCTGAATAGGGCTTGAAACAACAAACAATCAGACAAAGCTTTCAAAATATATATTTAAACATATCGTGGACCGGCATTATAAAGCAGTTTCGTTTTGACAAGCGATGCCTCACTGACTTGCACTTTCACGATACCTTGAATAAATCGAAATTATCGCTGGCCTTTCTTTGTTAAGGTGTCATATCATACTTTGTTCATTTTAGCTTTTGGTAAATGAAACATACCAAATTTACGACTTCCTACCTCAAATGTAAAACAGTCTACAGCTACAACTGCTACTTACTCTTTTGTCTAATTGGTGACGGGGTTTCTCAAGGCTCTGGATTATAAGCTGGGAATTTTCGTTGGGAGCTGATGTATTTTCGTAGTCTTTGAACCAGCATTCTTTGCATAATTGCCCCAAATTCGGCATTGGTTATCGGTTTCAGTATATTACCAGTGCCTGTATATGGGTCTGTGTTGGGAACGGGTGAAAGCCTTGGTTCGATCGGATGGCTCAGTTTAGCATTTACCGAGTTCTCTACAGTCTTTACAGGTACAATCTCTTTTATGGCAACTGGAGTCTGGTCAGTAACTGGTGACCTATCCTGACCTGCGGCTGGTGCTGTCTGTGCCGTTGCCTGACCACTGACATGTGTCTTGGATATTGGATAAACCTCTGAAAGGTGTTCAATTAGTGTTTGAGCACCTACTTGAAGTGGTGCTGATGTCGTTGTCTGTGTACCTGTCTGGCCGTTGACTGGTGCCTGTGCACCTGTAACATATGAATAGTGTGCTCCTGTCTGAAAGGTAGCCGTTGTCTGTTCGAGAGGCTGACTTGAAGTTGGTACAGCTGTAACTGGTGGCTGTGTCCCAGTCGAGCTTTCATATCCTATCTGATTAGGAGTGGATGTTTGTAAGTTCCCTTGTCCTCCAGCATACACTGGAACTTCTGGATTGTATTTCTGCCTGGTCCATCGACCTGCAAGATATATCGGTACCCAAATAGGACTTGGAGTCGATGTCTGCAAGCTTCCTTGACCTGCGTCATATACCGATGCCCCACTCTGACCTGAAGTTGATGTCTGCACGCTTCTTGACCTGCATCATATACCGATGCCCAGACCTGCATCATATACCTGCATCATATACCCCACTCTGACCTGAAGTTGATGTCTGCACGCTTCCTTGACCTGCATCATATACCGATGCTTCCTTGACGTGCATCTCTGACCTGAAGTTGATGTCTTGCTTCCTGCTTGCATCATTACCGACCTACCTGAAGTTGATGTCTCATCAGACACCGATGCCCCACTCTGACCTGAAGTTGATGTCTGCATGCTCCCTTGACCTGCATCATACACCGATACCCCACTCTGACCTGAAGTTGATGTCTGCCTGCTTCCCAGACCTGCATCATAAACCGGCGCCCCACGTTGACCTGAAACCGAGGATGAGGCTGACCGCTGCATGGCGGCACGCATTTTCTGCATGTCAAACTGATGGTGTTCCGCCATTTTGCTAAATTGTTCAAACAGATTCCTCATAAGATGTGTCTTCGCCGCATTTGTAGCTTGCGTCAGGATTTTATGCCGATGTTGCTGCCCGGCAGATGTTGCAGGTGTAGACTGACCTGACGCTGACACAGATCCTGCCGTACCTCTGGCCTGTTGTTGATTATATGAAGGCTGCCTTCTGGGGACGGACACTACAGTCTGTGGGGGAGTCTCGGGAACACTAGGTCCTGTGGTGGGTAACGGAGACGTCACCTCGGGTGTCTCAGGGGCTTCGTATTCATAATTTGGGGGATAAGTGGATACTGCTCCTCCAGGTGAATTTGGACCCCCAGTCTGGACAACTAACGGAGCAGTTTGACCTTCAGCCACTTCCGGTGCTTCGACATCTGGTGCTTCGGTGACTACAGTGGCACCATTGGCACCTTGGTTTGCTTGTCCTGGTCTTATCCGAGCATGATATACTATAGGGCCTTGTCCTTGAGCTACCTCTTGTACTTCGACTTCGGCCTGACTCTGCTGTTGCGCTTGTCCAAGGCTGAAACAGAGGATTAGGACAAGGGTCCGGCCCTGAAATGTGAAACAAATGGCACTGTGATACAAGCAAAACTCTTTCACTATTTAATTTCCTTTACTGGAGACCTTTCCTCTGACTGGACGGTGACATACCACTTGACACTGTCTATTCTTCATCTCCAAACAACAAATACGAATGAAACAATGGGGGAAGTGAGTTGGGTTTTACGCCGCTTTTAGCAATATTCCAACAATATCACGGCGGGGGACACCTGAAATGGGCTTCACACATTGTACCCATGTGGGGAATCGAACCCGGGTCTTCGGCGTGACGAGGCTACCCTACCGCCCTTCCGAATGAAACAATAAATGAAACTAATCACTAAATTAAACAACATTTGCAAATGAACTAGCTGATAAAACTGCCAACATCAATTAAAACTACATGGAAACAGAAAGCACAAATTTTGTTTGAATGTTTGAAATGAGCCATATATGAAAACCCAGAAAATATTCTATTCGAAGAATTGTTCTTCGTTAAACATGTCTCCTTATTTGGACTCCCTAGTTTCTTACCCCAATGCGCATTCAAACCAACATCAAGTTCGCCATCCTGGCACTACTCAGGATGTAGTGTTCCATCAAAAGAGGCATCAGTCTGCCAGGCCACGTAATTCGCCATAATTATCATTAATGTTTAGTGATAAATTGTTTAAAAAGATATTTTGCCTCCGAGTATAATTTTAATTCTGATCCAAATAAGTACCTTACTTTACTTAATATATCAAACATGTATACACATGTATCTTAATCAATTTGAGAGATTTTACTTATGTTCAATTATCTGTATAGCACTCTCATCACCTTATTTCAAGCTACATTTTCGATAAGACAAATGACATGGTTGTGATATAGTCATATAAAATATGTTGTTTTTCACATTTTGAAGTTGGATATTTAACGAATGACCATACAGAAGGTTTGATCAACATCTGTATTACAATTACAGAACGTTGACTTATCAATTACTTTATAACGGTAATAGAGATGTTGATATCTGTATTATTTTGTTATATTCACACCTGCATAGGTACATTGAGTGAAACCCACTTCTAGTGTGCCCCAGTATGGCGCATTGTTCAAATGCGGCGTAAAACCATACTCACTCATTATATTCATACAAACAGCAAAAGAAGGTAACTGAAGGAATGATCCTAAATATACGATTAAGAAAACGGTATAATATTAATTTGCATGTAACTTACGTTCTATACCCGTTGACTTATTAATCAAATCCTATCAGAAAAATGAAAATCGGGTAAGATATCAATAAAATCACGGCACAAATTGATAATTTTAAACAGAACACTTACGAAGACGGTGTGAGACCTGGGGGACATGATGCCAGCGAAGTGACTGAAGTCGCAAATGAGGTAGAAAAGACACATGCTGCATATATATTTAGATTAAATGTACAAGCTATTGACAAGCTATCAGTCAACTGTGACAGGCGTAACACGATGAGACAACGAACGATGATTTAGTAGCACATGCTGACATTCATAATCTTCTGCTATATGCAACTGTCTGGTAAAACAGCTTCATTGTACGACATAGTGAACTGTAGAATTGGAACGCATGAATCAGAGCAGAGCGTATATCCATGTTCGGGTATCTCTGTAATCCATGTTCAGGGTCCATGGAAATTGTAAATGGCCTTGCACCATGGTCTTGTATTAACTATCGATTATCAGCAACGAAGACTATATTCCACTTTCCACACCTTCTATGGATATAGACGACATAACGTTTAGGGTGCCCGTGCCAAAAAGAATATTTACCTAATACGTCAGAGATGTATATCTTAATCAAGTTTTGATACCTGCATAAAGAATATATCGTTGGTTGTGTTATTGTTGGGTTGTTTTCTGGGGTTTTTTTTTGTTTTTGTTGTTGTTTTTTGGGGGTGGGGTGGGTGGGGGTGTGTTTTGTTTTGCTTTTTGTTGTTGTTTATTATTATTTTATTTATTTTTTTATTATTTTTTTTTTTTTGGGGGAGGTGTTGTTTGTGTTTTGTTCTTTCGTTGTTGTTTTTGTTGTTGTCTTTTGTGTGTGTCTGTGTTTGTTTTGTTTATTTTGGGGGGTGCATTTAGAAGTTGGATATTTAACTGATGACGATACAGAAAGATAAGATCAGTATAGACGATGTGTCTGTATGGTCTTGGCACATTCACACCTGCATAGGTACGATGAGTTAAGCCCACTTCTTGTGTGACCGGTACTGGGTATTGCTCAACATGCGGCGTAAAACCATACTCACTCACTGATATTCACTTCACTTTATTCAGAATTGAAGGCCATGTGGCCAAGAGTACAACAGGTAATACAATATTGTCATGGTGTGTAGAGTTAAAATATAATTCATAATAGAATTATTTTAACGTAGGTTTTGCTTCAGGAATATACATATTCCTTTAAGAACAGTGACACTGTGTATCTTCATAAGGGCTCGGAATTTGACAATTGAAGGTGGGCTGTAGAAATAGGCTGGAATACATTGGGATCTGCATCGGTTATAAAATGGACATATTAGCAACAAGTGATATTCGTCTTCAAGCACGTTCAAATTACATTTGTTACAAACTAATTCTTTATATGGGACAATTATCTTTGAAAAACGTTGTTTTTGTATATTCAAGTTATGTGATTGGCATCGGAATTTGATCAACATTCGCATAAGATCTTTGTTTAATGCGCCACAGGAAATATACAGTTCAGGTTCAAGAAGTCACTTAAATGTACTATAATTTTACAAGAAATGATGAGTTTCTTATTTTACTATTCCAGTGTTGTATATTAATATCTATACAGCGTTGTTTGAACTCAAACATGAAGTGATTTACATCGCCACAATCTTGGGCTAACCAGACATAGGAGAAACCTGTAGTAAAAAGAAGCATTCGAACATGTGAAACCCAGTTTGTGCCTCCGTTATCATCATAGGCTTTCATCATCTTATAACAGGCATTCGGGTATCTATTTTGGTCCATACGAATAATTCGGCACCAATATTTAATACACCTTGAATGGTAATGTACACACAAGTTATATCTGCCAATTTCTCCAAGTACAGCACATGATGCAGTTTTTTTACTGAGTAACAGAAATCTTTTATAGTACTCACTATGAACCTTTTCAATACACGTTCTATAAGTATAGCCCCAAATTTCACTTCCATAGGTTAGAATTGGTAGTATCTTACTGACAAATATATTATTAGCAATAGTTAAAGACATACTTTGATACTTGGTGAACAGTTGAAACAGAGGGGAAACATGCACGTTTGGCTTGTAAAGATAGCGTTTCACATGCTTTGGACCAAACTAAACGAGATGAAAATACAATTCCTAAATATTTATAATAAGGGGTGGCCTCTACAGGTAGACCTTTAAAAAACCATTTTTCATTTCTCTTAACGCGTCCTCCGTTTCGAAAAACAACCACCTTAGATTTATCCAGATTTACTTCAAAGCCCCACGTGTTACAAAAATCTTCAAGAATGTCTAATTTTCTTTGTAAATCAACAATGCTATCTCCTAGTAGTGCAACGTTATCCGCGAACAGTAATATCTTAATAGCTTCTATGTATTCATTTACATACATTCCACGAGTATTGCCATGATGGAGATCGTCTGCAAGTTTATTGATGAATAGGATGATTAGTAGCGGACTGAGCATGCAGCCCTGACGAACACCATTATTGGTTGAAAAGAAATCTGTTCTAGATTTACCAGAACGAACGGAGGCACATACATTTGAGTACATGTTCTCAATGATTTTATACATCTTGCCGTGTACACCCTTTTCAAGTAGAATATATAACATTTTTTTCTATCAATAAGATCGAAGGCCTTGCGGAAATCGATGAAAGCTACATAAAAACGATGTTTTGCTTTACGCAGGTACTTATGAACTAAAGAATGGAGTGAGAACATATTATCTATGGTAGAATAATCATTTCTAAAGCCTCCTTGCCCTTCATTTAGTAAAGCATTAAACTCGGCCCAGCTACGCAGTCTTTTTTCA